CCTTGAATAATAATTGTTTTAGTGATGTGATAAAAATGATGTGCTAATAATGATGTACTAAAGATATTTTCTGGTAAGTTACATTATATTATATATAAACATGTAAACTACTAAATTTGAAGTAATATTCGTTAAGATGCAGGTTCGAATCCCGCCAGATTTTTGAGACACGTTTTACGTATGTTATTAACATGAGTTATTTTTCAATTACATTGACAATACCTTCTTGTATGGAAGCAAACCCTTTAATAATAAAATTATATATAGATGATTATTGGATTCCTTTACTCAAATTGACGGCCATGATATTAAAGAAATAATTAAGAAATCAATTACAACGAAAAAAATCCATATTCGTTATAATTTCGATTTATTATTTGAACTCAGCGTTCTGTATTATAATTAAATCATACGAAAATCGAAGCTCTATATAAACATAAACTATTTTTAAAGTGATGACAAGCCATTAAATTAAAAGTTAAATTTAGAATATAGTCATAATTTGCATTCGTTTTAAAGTACGACTTATATATTGATATTATAAAATCCCACCAGGAATAGAAGTTTCATAAAAGTATTTTTTATGAATTCTCTTGCTTTATTATAATTAGCGTTTCAAAATGCTCGCTTTAGGCATGACATGAATGTCGCATCATATTGCACGCGCGGCACTTGACCTCGAGATCGGCGGCCAGCGGGACAGCAGGCGATACTGGTAAGCTGACGATGTTTATTAAATTCGCTATAAAATGCGTTTTTATAATTTTGTAGAGACACTGATGATTTTTTACGGATTGTTTGAATCAAATTATCGTCCCCGTTATTCCGAGTGATTGTTTTAATAAATAGTCATATAGCAACTGATTAAGTATATTAAAATCTAATTGCACCTATTTATATTCCTATTTTAGATATTATTCATATTTAAGACGTTGTTTAGTCGCGACCTCACTCGTGGGGTAACTAAGAATGCCACGGTACCTGGTTGGTTATTGGGGATTTTAATTAACTTTTATCTCTATATCGCGAAACCAAAAAAGGTGAATTAGAAGCCTCCAATCGCTTGTGATTGGGGGATTTTAATTCACTTTTTTTGGTTTTGTGATATAGAGATAAAAGTGAATTAGAATTCCCAATACCTACCTACTGGGACCACATGCACTTCTAGGATCTCTGTGATATAGCGGCGAGCAGTCAGCGACCCTTGTTCGCGAGTACTTCTAGTCCGAGAGACGCAGACAAGGCCGATTTTGCCGGCAGCCGACATACCGCCCCAGATGATGCAGGACCCGCCCCCATATTCCACTGTCTCCTGGATGCAGGCTTCCGCAAAACGTTCACCCTGCCTCCAGTATACTCTTCTCCGTCGATCGTTGCAGAAAAGACACACTCGCGGCTCGTCTGTGAAGAGAACAGCTCTCCACTGCTCAAGGGTCCAATGGACGTAGTCACGAGCAAACTGTAAGCGGGCTCGCCGATGCGCTGCTGTCAATTTGGGACCCGTAGCAGCTCTGTGGGCCGCTATCTTTTCTCCTTCAGTCTTCTTCTAACCGTAAAGACGCTCACGGTGCATCTACAAACTGCCTGAAGCTGCTGTTGCAACTCAACAGCGTTAGAGAGACGATTTCTCAGAGTTCGACAGAGACGACCTGTTCAACGGTCGTCTCTTTCTGAAGTGCAGCGACGTCTACCGGACCCATGTCTCCGGATATAGCCACCAGTCTCTATGAAGCACTGGTATACTCTTCGAACGGAAAAACGGTTCAGGTTCAGTTGCCGGGCAACATCACACTGCCGCATCCCTAATTGCCGTAGTGCAAATACTTGAGCGGCTTCATCAGCTGTGGTATCCATCTTCGAGGTGATTTTTCTTCAGTAAAATCTGTGCGTTGACTCCGCGTGGACCGTTTTATACCCACACAAGGAAACGCAACAAGCGACTCTCACGGTAGCAAAATTTGCATTGAATTTTTGTGACACATTATTTTTTGCACTAGGTTTTATTTGATAATGAAAAGTGATGTTTTTAATTAAGTCAATTAAGAAACATTTTTAAATTATATCATAATTATTGTGACTACATGTGCATATTAAAAGTTAAAGACATTTGAAAATAATTTTCTAAGAGGTACAATTTTTTTGACGCATTTTGTATATTAATTAGTCACTTGCTGGAAAGTCGGAAATATTTCCGTTATGAGTAAGATTTCTACAGTAGACATGAAACTCCATAGGAACTCATTTCAAAAGAGTCATCAGATCATTGTACTTTGCAGTAGATATAGGTTTCTCAGTGTCTCTCACTTCACAAAACACCAACAGACCGAAGGTAAAACAAAAACACCGAAATGTCAACAAACAATGCGTGCAAGGAGCAAAGTGACAGACGGCCAGACATACGATCGCGCAACGACAAATCACAACGTATCTCATTACACTTAAACTAATTCAGTGTTAGTCATTGGACATGCCGTGGCTGATAATGCCCAATGTCACTAATTTTTTGGCGCCATATTTTGAATAGTTCACATCCATAACGATTTTTACATTGGCCCACCAATGCATTTACAAAGTTTCTAAAACAAAAGGCATAAAGTCGTATATCTACAACCGTTTTAAAGTTATTAAAGGAATCTTAGATGCATAATATCGTAGGTTTAGTTACGATGAATATTTTAAATCACTGTTTGAACCATAAAGGCGTGACTCCTTTTACGTAGCCTTGGTGCGAATATTTTTTTAAGCATAAGGGCCAAATTTTCAATCCACCAAAAGAAAAATACAGCAATGTAGAGGGAAGGAAGTGAAAATGAAACCTTAAGGTTCTAATGAATTTAGAAAATCTGTAAGAACCGACATTATGCACGGAATTATCTTAGCCCAGAAAAGAGATAGAAATACAGCTCTTAGTGCTATGGAAAGAGAAAGAAGCGCTTTTCTTTGTTATTCAATAAAAAAATTTTGCCCGACCTGCACATCCGCCCATATGCATCTAAGCTCCAGATATATAGTATTAAACTGATGTCGATTCTGGCAATATTCTCTAAAGCTAAACTTAAATTTGACAACAGTGCATTCCTGTCATTCTCTATACAGAATGAAAAGGAGAGACTGATGTTGAATTTAGTTTTAAGTTTAGAGAATCACGCCAGAATCGACACCACTATCAATTATAAGTTCTTCCACTTCTACTTTGGGTAGGTATTATGGCTCCATCGTTATGTACGATGATTCTACCAATATCAGGGTTAAGAAAGGCACTGCTATATCGGAACTCTTCTTTGTACGGTGTGGTAGCTCGGTTTCTTTGCGAAGCTATCCCGTGGAGTTCTGATTCTAGAATAGGCCAACACATATAACATCACAAGCTGACATGTACCCAAGCATACAAATTGTTAGCGTCTTTATTAGTGTAGTAAAGAATTGAATTGTAAGCAGGGCCGGATTTAGAGGTCCAGAGGCCTCGGGGCAACAGAGGAGCGGAGGCAGGGGCCCTCAAATTATTTTCCAAATAAAGTATACAATTTTTTTTCAGTCGAGTTTTTCAATAAATAATTTATTGTGAACCAAGTAGATTCCCTTAGCATTGAACAAACACATATAAATATGAACGGAAACAAGAATTATCTGAAATTAAATCTTAAGAGTTAACGAACGGATCCAAAAGATGTTTACTAGTTGGAATTTGAAAGATTTTTTTTCCGAAGTCTATTGTGTGGGCCCCCCGTTTGTGGAGGCCCCGGGTCTTTCACCCCGGTTGCCCTCCCCTAAATCCAGCAGTGATTGTAAGAGATGACATAGCAAAGTATATTATTACTATATACTAATTTTCTTTTCTTTAAAAAAACTCGATTTTTTTATTTCATAGGGTAAATTTAGGAAAATCCCTTCTTAGCTAAGGCCTTCGTCATATTAACTCTATCTGTTGATCGTTTCAGTTGATCTTTCAGTCAGTAATGATTGCCTTTCATATATTTTATCTAGACTCATCTCTTCTCACCCTCGAATCCCCTTTAAACCATCCAATCCCCCTTTTCACCCTCTAATCCCTTTACATCCCCTAATCCCCTTTTCACCCTCTAATCCCTTTATATCCCCTAAGCCCTTTTTCATCCCCTAATCCTTTTATATCCCCTAATCCCCTTTTTACCCTCTAATCCCTTTACATCCCCTAATCCCCTTATCACCATCCAATCCCCTTTTCACCTACCAATCTCCTGCGTCCATTTAGTTTCACAACTATCTGATGTAGATAATCCTCCTCTCTGACTCTAACCCGCAGTGCCGCTTAGATTAACTTACCACACAAGTTATCACTTCTGTTGTGCATTCCGAGACGCACACGCTTTTTTTAGTTGGGTCACTTTCATTCTGAGGGTGTCGTTTTCATGTTTTTATTACTAACTTAGCGGCCGCCCGCGATTTCGTCCGCGTTAACTTTTAGTTTTTTTTTCTAAAATAAAAGATTTTTTCCAAAATAAAATATTTTTTTCTAAAATAAAAGTAGCCAGTAGTACTCCTTATTACATCAGCTACCTGCCAATAAAAGTCCCGTCAAAATCGGTCCAGCCATTTCAGAGATTAGCCGGAACAAACAGACAAACAGACAGACAGACAAAAATTGTAAAAAAAATATTTTGTTCTTTGTACTGTATATATATTCATATGCATGAAGTAAAAAGCGGTTATTTCTATATTACAAACAGACACTCCAATTTTATTTATATGTTTAGTTAAATAGTGTGCACAATAATAATTTAAACAAGTTATTCTTCTTTATAGATATTAACGGGATTGTTACCATGTACCTTGTTTTTTATGAGTCTCCGATATTTCGGCACTGTTAGTGCCGTTAGTTACTCCGTGATCATGGCGCTTGCAACAGTGCCGAAATATCGGAGACTCATAAAAAACAAGGTACATGGTAACAATCCCGTTAATATCTATAATGTTAGTGACCATGAAAGTTTAAAACAATATAAAGTTATTCTTCTTCTCAGGGTAAATACCCTTTAGCGTCACTGAGTGCTGTCAGCCTGGCCACATCTAGAGCTACATCCAGAAGGAAAGTGAGAGAATTCTACCAGAAGACTCCTAAAGAAGTAAGTGTCGCCGCACACGGGCCACCGACCACAACCACAAAACGCCGCCACCGGCATATTTCTTGTAGTTTTCATACATTTTATATGGACTCGCCACACACGGTACGCCGGTGGCCGCCACACGCTACAAATCGTCGTTGCTCGCTTCTTGTGGCCCGCACCGGCCACTTAATGCGCCGATACAAAACGCCGCCACACGTCACTCGCGCGATTCCCCACCCCTCTCTCCCTTACCTTAGTCGGCCGCTGTCGCGCGCTTCAGCCACTTTAGTAGTCGCTTCTAGCTTCTCGTGGCGGCGTTTGTGGCTGTGGCGTGTGGCCTGTGTGCGGCGAATCTAAGAAGCTAAGGGCCACTTGCACCAACATATTTTAATTATGGCAAATTAATTTAAGCAAATTCACTGTTCAACACATAATTCCGTCTTTGGTAATTGTTTTAAGTCAAAAAGAGAAAAAAATGGCTTGAACCTGATTAGTTTTTCAATTATGAATTAAGAAGTTCTTTCTTCATTGTTTCTCTAAAAGTAGGCCTCTAAAGTGGTAATTTTATTTTTGCTTAATGTATTAATTTAATAACATTGACCGAACTAAAATTATTCATTAGGAGCAGCCAATTTTCAAACATTCAATTTATAATTTTTATTTTTTAAGCATGTAACTGCTCGATGTATAAATATAAAAAAAAAACTTGTGAAGGGTGCGGGTTCGAGTCCCGTCTGCTGCCTGGTCCGCGTGGATTTTTATCTAGTAAGATTTTCTTTAGATTTAAACATGCTTAAAAAATATAACTATAATTGCTATTTCTTCTTTCAAATGTTTAATACTTGTAAAGGTATTCATTTCACATTGTCGGTTACCTACAATGCGAAGAGATGGCCGCTGCCTTGTAGCTTAAGAAAGGCTAGAAAGAATTGGACACGGCCGTCAGGGCCGCGGTAGCATAATGGTCAGTGCATTCGCCGGGATAGCGAAGGGTTCGAGTCCCATCTGAATTTTTTTTAGTAATGTTTTCTTTAGATTCAATTTGTATCGATCTGTGAAAGAACCTAACTGCTTCTAATAAACATTTGATCATGTATATAATATGTAATGAGAGACTGAAAAATGAAATTAATCATTTCAGAAATCAGAATTCAGAAATCAATATATCTATATTCAATTTGGATGTATAGTACAACTCTTTTGAATCGTCCAAAAATTTTTTTTCCCTACCACTCGTTATGGACATATTTTTTAGCTGCGGAGAAAAACGAGCGATAAAAACTCCACAACATTAAAATGTAACAACATTTACAAATCATTATGTTGTTACAACGTCAATACAATTATGATTTATTTAATATAGAAAACCTGTTGGAATGATTGCAACAGTTCAAACCCAAGCATTTTTGTCTGTAATATAATCAGACACTTTGTAATAAGCTTTTTTAATGTTTAAATCTAAAGAAAAGTTTACTAGAAAAAAAAATCCACGCGGACCAGGCAGCGGACGGGACTCGAAACCGCATCCTTCGCAATCCGGGCGAATGCACTGACCATTATGCTACCACGGCCCTCTTAGCCGCGTCGAAATTTTCCTAGCCTTAGGCTGCAAGGCAGCGCCGTCTCTTCGCATTGTAGGCAACCCACAATGTCAAATGAATACTTTTTCAAGTATTTAACATTTGAAAGAAGAAATAGTAAACTTTTCTTTACATTTAAACATCTAGCTGATAAATGCTTAAAAATAAATAAAAACATAACTTTATTAATGTGTTTTTTTTTTCATAATATCTTTAAATGTATTTATGGTTACATTATGAAGTTACATTACCCCAATATCATCATCATCAACAGCCTATCTTAGTCCACTGCTGGACATAGGCCTCTCCAAATGCACGCCACTCAGATCGATATCTACCTACCTCACTACTATGCCACTCAGATCAATACCATGAATGTACACAGACAAAAAGCTACCCCAATGTATATGCGCACAGACAAAAAGCTACCCCAATATGATACAAAGTGTTTTTGACATTGTGGGTTACCTTCAATGCAAAGATATAACGCTGAATTGCAGCCTAAGAAATACTAGAAGAAATTTGACACGGTCATTAGCGGCGCGGTAGCATATTTGGTCGGTGCATCCGCCCGGATAGCGGAGGGTGCGGGTTCGAGTCTCATTTTTACTAGTAAAATTTTCTTTTTATCAGCCTCTCCCACAATTACCGATGGCACCAGAAAAAGCACCCCCAGCTCCCACTTTGGACCAGATTATGGCTTTGCGAGGCGAAGACTTCTTCCTGTTTTGTCCCAGAAGCGACGGCCATAATTACGGGAGGTAACAAATTTCTTTGGATCCTTTAACCTTATGTTCGAGCATGTTATTCCAACAGGAATATTATTTTTGATATATTTGATACGAGAGGAAGAAGACATATATTTTTATTTATTTATAAAGGAGTATAACTTAATATTTATCTTATCGAAATACTTAATTTATTGCAGCAGGTGACAGCTTGAATTTATTTCACTAGAATTCAATGGTTTTATTTTGCTTTTCGATTTTATATCAAAGTCGCCTAAAGAAAATGATATGCCTTGTAGACTAAGATAATCTTACTGGAAAAAAAACGAGTATGCTTATGACCACACGACTGAAGTGAAACTTCTTTAGCTCCATCTGTATGTATATATACCTATATATATATATATATGGTTGTATAATATATACATGTATGTACCAATGTACATATACATATTTCATTTCTTTCTCTTATTTAGTTACTAGTTGTAACTGAAATATTTCAGTTACTAGTTATAAGAGAAATAAAGAAAATGTGCGCGCGTACTGCTTTCTCTTGCTTATATCCCCCACTCAACTTCCGTTCGCTTCGCCCGAACACACTTCGTAGCATGTAACGCATTCGCCAGCTTACCCCCCCAAGTCAAGCGTGCGTAAAGAAGTTTGCTTATATTCCCCACTGAACTCCCGTTCGCCTCGCCCTATCACACTTTTTGTACCGCGTAACGCATTCGCCAGCTTATCCCCAAGCCAAGAAGTTTCGCTTCAAAAACTTCCGCGTGTTTTTGCGCGACTGCGCGTGACAGTCTATTTAAGTATGTATGTTCCTTTGTGGCGCACTAGAAACCAAACGCGTGGACTGATTTTGATGATTCATACGACAATCGAATCGTCTTAATTATGGAAGTGCTACTAAAAACATAAGACAGTAATCGAAACTCAATATAGGGTCAATTAATTGTTATATTGTGAGAAAGAAAAAAAAAATAGTCGACAAAATATGTCGAGTGGGGTATCATTGTCTAGTTAATTGAAAATCATGTTTAACGAAATATGTCGAGTCGGATATCATTGTCTAGATAATTGAAAATCATGTTTAGGTTTCTTACATCACTTTTAATTTTTTTAAGCAAAGCGTTCTACGAATTCGCGCGGATAGCGATGTAAGCTAGCTTAATACCTAAGCAGAGTATTTTATTTCCTATTACAAAATTTTGGCCCCGATATTTTGGAGCACTATAAAATTATGTTAAATACAAATGGCGTGATTTATATCAAATGTTACTAGATATAATTTCAATAGTAAAGTAGTATAGAGCAGACTATTCAGTGTGGATTGGTGAATGCTCCAGACTGCCGATGCAGCCGGGACTAACAGCTTAACGCGCCTTCCGAAGCCCGGAGGAGCTAGAGATAGTAAATTTTTGGTAACCCATCCACAGCGAAAGTTGCTTAACTTCAACGATCGCAGCCGAACGCGCTAATTAATTGCGCCATTGAGCTCAACAATATTTTAGGGGAATTCTAAAACTCGTTAAAATTTTCTCTTTAGGGACGATATGATTCCACGCCCCAAGTCGGAGACAATCCTCCACAGTCCAGTGGACATCGCCAACAAGAACTACCACTCGCAATTTCAGCAGTTGGACGTTGAGAAGTGGATATTGAGGGGAACAAGGCATATGGCCAGTTACAGGTAGGTTTTGTTCATTTACCCAAATATAGCAAACTACAGGAAGTTGTAAATGCAATCTATACATGTCCTGTCATATAATAGGATACCAGCGTTGTCGTGACACGTTTAGTTACATGTCACGACAGCATTATGGTCACGACAGCATTATGCTGAGCAGGATCCTGATTCACCAATTTTATAACTGTCAGGTTTATCAATGTTTGTGATGCTTACTTTCTATATATGTTTTTTTTTATAGATAGGTCCGACAAATGACTCCACCCCACCTGATGTTAAGTGAAGGTGAAGTCCAGACGTGAAGATAGTTGATACAGCAGTTCTACCTGCCACACCAGCCCTCCTCACCCTGCCGGCCTGCATGTTGCTTCTTCACGCCTCTTTTAAAGGATCCCAGATTGTAAGAGGGCAGAACATTCCATTTACGAATAGTGCGACACAGAAATGAGTCACCAAATTTCTTTGTACGCGTTGGGATTGTGGCCACAGTTAGACGGTGAGAACGTAGGCCAGCGCACGTGGTCCTCTGAAGGAAAGGGGAAGGTGGGATAAGAGAGAATAACTCCTCAGAACACTCGCCGTGGTACAGACGATAGAACGCGCTTAGTGACGCCACGTCACGGCATAATTGCAGAGACAGAGACTCCTCATCGCCTATCGCTTTTATTTCAGCTGTTCATAATAACATGTTTGTGTGTTTTTATTGGTCATTAAATTGATTCTCTCTTTTTCTCGCTCTCTCAATAGGCTTTCAAATTTACCCATCATAAGTTTATTATCCAGTGCTACTCTCACTCGTAGATCGACATTGAGATATGGATATTGAGTAGACGTGTGTTAGGCAAGCTTAGGCACATCCTCACGGCCAAAATTCCCCAGTGCCTGAAAAGAAGGGTCTATGACCAGTGTGTGTTACCAGTGATAACTTATGGGACTGAGCCGTGGTCTTTGAATGTCGGCCTCATAACAAAACTCAGAGTCGCGCAGCGTGCTATGGAGAGGGCTATGCTCGGTGTTTCCCTACGTGATCCGAAATACGGAGATCCGTAGAAGGACCGGTGTGTACGACATAGCCCGAAGAGTTAGAACGCTGAAGTGGCAATGGGCAGACCACATCGCTCGAGGATCTGACAACCGTTGGGTAAGAAAGGTCCTCGAGTGGCGACCACGTACCGGACGACGCAGCGTGGGGCGGCCCCCAACAAGGTGGACCGACAATATCATCAAATGTGCTGGGAGCCGCTGGATGCGGATAGCCGATAGACGGCGCATTGTGGCGTTCTATGGGGAAGGCCTATGTCCAGCAGTGAACGGAGAAAGGCTGATGGATGGATGGATGGTGTATTTCCGGACGCATCCTGGGTCGGATGTACTTCCTGGATATAAAACCAATCATTCCATTTAAAAATCCTTAGCATATCCAGTATATTCAATCCAATATGACTATACGGAACACCACTCCACTAGCAAATCCATTTGCCCAATCACCAGCTGACTATACAGAACAAACATGAAAGTACGTAAAGCGCTGAAAGCGGATATTTTTCTAGTAAAAAATCTAAATGTGAATTACTATTAAATCTTTAGATTTGATAATAATTAAACGTTAAATATTTAAGTGACAGTCCTAAGCCTGACAGTCAACCTATGAAGGAAAATCAGAAGATTTGTGTAAAAGATATGATATGGATTAAACTAATCTTATTGGTTCGGATCTAATAAACAAATGTGGATATGGATAAATATTTATTAAAATGTTAGCTGGATATACCTCATGATAAGGTAATGATTAAATGAATTGGACTTGTATTAAGCGGATAAGGATATCATCATCACCAACCTATGCTCGTCCACTGCTGGACATAGGTCTCTGGCAATGGGCTGGTCACATTAGCAGAACTGACGGCCATTGGAGCCGGAAAGTTCTTGAGTGGAGACTACGACTCGGTAAACGTACTGTAGGACGCCCTGAGATAAGATGGGATGATGACATTCATAGGTTGGCTGGAGTGGACTGTATGAGATTGGCACGGGTAGTAGGACCCCAGATTGTAGGAAGGAGGGAACACGTGCAAAGAATTCCACTTACGAATAGTACGACAAAGAAATGAGTTATTTATTTTAGTTTACTCCTTAAGAATCGATTTGCATATATAAGGGGCCCGGTATGAGAAAAATGTGAGGAGTAAAATCAATCGATGAATGACCTCGTTACGTTTTTACTGTGTACGCTGTAGCAGCCGTAGTGCTACACCGTAGCACATTGTCGTAGCGTACCTTTATTGCCTACGACGACAAAGAAACCGCGTCTGTGTACCACCGCGCCATTCGTTGAACACAAAACCATTGAGCTTTAGAAGTAAACGTGGATATGGCATTTACAGTATCAATCTTTTTTAAGTTAAATAAACTCTTTTTGCGTCTGGTTAGACTATCGAATTTAAGGATTAAACTCCAGCGTGCGTCGGAGCTGACACACACATTTTTTTTTATTGAAGTTATACTTCTTTAGCCGCGTTATGAAAAAATTATGAGAGTGAAATTTTAAGATGCGCGTGCATCACTGTAACACAAAAGTAACATAATGAAGTTAGCCGCGGGCGCGTTATGAAAAAATGATGAGAGTGAAATTTTAAGATGCGCGCGCAACACTATGAAGTCGGCCGCTAAACCGCACATTACTCGTAAGTCTCGAAAAAAAGCTTCCAACAAAATAGTAATAGGATCTCTTAGTCGCACATGTTGGGACGCTCGTCGCCTCTGATCACTGTTTTCATATTTATAATATTTATCCACATGTTTCTAGTTTCTATATTCTTAACACGTGTTATAATGTTATACAAATGCGAAATTTATATGTGCTAATAAATTTTATTCAGTAGTGATTTAAATTGAATATTTTGATCATTTATTAAATTTTTCAAATTAAAACTGAACTTTATTGACTGCGTTGACTATCCTTTTCCAATCCTTTTATTATCTTATTGTAATTAATTATCTGCATGCAATTAAAAACTATTTTTTAATAATTCCAAAAAGAAGTATAACTTCTCACGCGCGTACTTAAGTACACGCACCCATTTTTTTTGTTTATTAAACTGATTCTTCAAATTGCGTATCCTTTATCATTTGCTTCGATCTCAGGTACCAAATCTTCAAGACGTTCACTAGTGTACCGTGCTGTGTCGCTGCTTTCGCAACTCTCCGTCGATTACGAGCCAGAGCTTGGAACGAAGACACCATAGACGAAACACTGGACGTCGGATATAACATATATCGAGTGAGAAATCATCTGACAAATTGCTCTGGAATGTAATCTAAGAATAAAAAAAAGTATCCAATAGAGATGATGACTATTTTTTTTTCTTAGTTTATCAGGTAGATTATCAAAAAGTATTGGACACGTATTTATTTTACGTCTTTCTTCACATAACATAAACATTGCAGAGATATATTGATTTGAAAAGTAGCATGACGTCACGTTTTGGTACACTTAAGTGAAAATTCACTAAAAAGTGACGTCACGCGCCCCTACTCCCAAACTTTGACGCGCTATAACTTTGTCATTTTTTCGTTGATTGCCCAAAGAAGAAATACGTGTCTATTATTTTTTGATCATCTAACTGACGGACGAAATAGAATTTTGTTTACTGTACCCCGTCATCACCCCTAATGCGAGCTATGTTGCGGCACCCGATTTCCAACTGACCGGACCTAGCTAAAGTTCTCCTGGCTTTGAGAATTATTAGACTGCTAAAAATAAATAAAATTACGTTGATAGAGAAATTATTTGATCTCCAGCGACAAAGTTTGATAGTTTATAAAAGCTTATTATGTGGGTGTTTGTTTACAATATCATTATGACAAGATCGACCGAAACCATCCGTTTTGAAGGCTTATTTCGAAATATTATTATATTATTGAGAAGCTCGATGGCGCAGGTGGTTAGCGCGTTCGGCTGCGATTGTTGAAGTTAAGCAACTTTCGCAGTGGTCGGTCATTGGATGGGTGACCAAAAATCTTCTGTCTCGAGTTCCTCCGTGCTTCGGAAGGCACGTTAAGCCGTTGGTCCCGGCTGCATCTGCAGTCGTTAGCACCCGCCAATCCGCACTGGACCGGCGTGGTGGGTCATGGCCAAATCTCCTTATTCCATCCATAGGGAAGGCCTGTGCACCAGCAGTGGGGACATTAATAGGCTGATGATGAATTATATTATTTGTTGTGATAGCATACATGTGTTTGCCGCGCTTCGCTTTTGGTCCCTGCTGCAACTGCAATTTTTAGCACCGACCAATCCGCACTGGGTCCGCGTGAAAAGGGTCATGACCAAATCTCTCTATTCCCTTCATAGGGAAGGCCTATGCCCCAGGAGTGGGGTCATTAATAGGCTGATAATAATGATTAAGCTTAGATACTATATTTTGGAACATTAGAAGTTGTCTCAAGAATTAAGTACCATTTGCTGGAACAACTTGCTTAAATTCCTGACACATTTGGAGATAATGTGATTTCCGCTTCATCTTAACAGGAATCGTTAGTGGAACGTGGTGGACCCATCAGAAGACTAGTGCTCGGAGAACTGAAGGAGACATTCAGGATGAGGGACGTGGAATACAAGCATAAGGTTTGATCGTCTTTTGGTTAAATAGATTGCTTCATTTTGATGAAGCAAAGTTAGGACAATCAAGTTTTCAAACTTATCTCTAAACGTCTTTATCTTAACATCTTAATATATATAAATCTCGTGTCACAATGTTTGTCCTCAATGGACTCCTAAACCACTGAACCGATTATAATAAAATTCGCACACCATGTGCAGTTCGATCCAACTTGAGAGATAGGATAGTTTAAATCTCAATTATAGTCGCAATTTAAATTTATTGCAAATTATTACTTTTGGGCGGTACAAAGTTCGCCGAGTCCGCTAGTAGTTGTATAGGTATGTCGGAGAGCGCCTATTCACTTTGTCATTAGCTTTCACGGGCTTAGTGGGCGTCATTGGGGCTTGATACAGGCACAAAACCAAACAATCACTCAATCACTGTTCGTACAATTTTAATGACGTTCATTTAACAATACAAAATAAAAATGTTTCACACACACATGACTTTAATTATTACACTTAAATAACGTAACAACCGAGCAGCGGGTTCGAGGTACCAATCTGACTTCACTGAACTACCGTATCACCTTTCTAGTAATGAACCGCTACGTTTTTTTTTTTTGTTTCCTCCCAGGCGGGGGAGTGGGTGAGAAATCCTCATGGATACCCTACAGCCGGCTGTAGGGTTATGTCAGACTCTTACTGACTAAAAAACACCCTTTAATCATGCTTATGGCCAGAAGGGCCTTACAAGCTTCATCTGAAGCGATCAACCCCCGAGAGGGGGATGATGCGGCGCTGCGTGTTAGTTTAAACTAGTGCATAGTTTAAAATAACGCAAAATGCGCTTAGAGGACAAGTGCACTCAGATGTGCACTTGAAACGGGAGGGGACTGAGAGGAATCGAACCTCTCTGTGTCGGGGGGGGGGGGGCGGGGGGGACTCACCGCGAGTGTTGGATCCTCAGCGGCCAGGAGGGCCGCGAGATCGCGTGTGAGTTTATTGTGTGTGGCTGTGAGTGCGTGTTTGGGCCTACGGGGCCTGAAGCGAGATGGAGTGTGTGGGGCGTATCCCGACGCCGATCTAATGAGTGGGTCCGCTACGATCAATTCCTCGCCTTTAAATACGCGCAAAAACTACCTCCCACTTGAGAAAATCAAGATGGCGCCTCGACCCCACTCGAGGCACGTGCTCTGCTCTGATTGGACGCGACATAAGATGATTTATAAGAGACTTTTATTAAATTGTTAAGTTACTGAACGATACAAAAATTGTAATTAATTAAATCAAATTAAATTAAGATTTTATAAAATTATTTAAAGTATAAACATTAAACCTTTTCGCGATTGGCATTCAACAAGAAACTCTACTCGTCACATCCTCCGACAGGTATATACATTTATGTCAAGCATTTGGCGTATCGATGACCATGCACTGAATTCAGTTGTACTGTGACATGAGACAAGCTCATTAAATTGGTGCAATAAAGTCCATTGAACAGTACAGTGCTCTTGACATTGACGTTAACACCTATCTAACAGTGCTTTCAGGGACACATCACAAGTCCCAACATACTACATAATAAATCAACATATAATTAAGTGTTTAGGCTTATCATAGTCCCTTACATTTTACAGTAGTCTATGTATATAAAAATCGATTGCTGTTCGTTAGTCTCGCTTAAACTCAATAATGGCTGAACAGATTTATCCTATCTTGGTCTTGAAATGTTCTTGGAGGTCTAGGGAAAGTTTAAAAGGTGAGAAAATATGGAAAAATTGCGATGAATATAGTGAAATCGTCAATTTAATTTTTCCATATAAACTGTTCTATCTTCTTTCCTGTCAAACATTTGACGTTCGTCCCTTTTGGTACGGTAGGCTCGGGCCCGTCATTTGTTCCAAATTATTTTTACCCGTACGAAGTACTCGGGTTCAACTAGTTTATAATAAAATCTTTCTCACGCTTACAACTTTTAAACTACGCGAACGGGAATATTACATAGTTTCGGTACCATTCCCAGAATCATAGTAAATAGCGGTATAAAGTACTCGTGGCGCTTGTAAAAGTGCCAACATATCGGGGACTCGCTAAAAGCAAAGTACATGGACCAAACAAACGTGCTATGTACTATAATGTTTGCTGATCATGAAAATTTTAAACAATACATTTCCAGATATCTAGAATAATTGGGAGTAGTCTTAGATTAAAACAAAAAGGGAAGATACGGCACTCGCGGCTCAAAAGTGATCCGCTTAAATTGTGGTGCACGATCACAATTCGCTGTAGTCACAATTGGATATTCCAACACGCTGCATGTGCAGTCAACATAACAATAATGCGTATATTCTGTGTTATAAAGATAAATCAATGCCTTCGATGCTTTTATCAAGAACACAAATAGTTCAAAATCAAATAACAAATGCCTCGGCAACACTTCTCATTCGTAGAACTGTAAATATTTTTTTCTCAAAAATCACGGTTTGTCGTGAATGTAATTTACAAATCAAGAAATGGATAATAATATACTTTAGTCGTTCGTACTCGGAAGCGGATTCGCCGTTTCGCTCTCTCTGCATTGAAGCGTACAGTTCTGTCTCGCTCGCTTGATTGAATGTCATTTACAGACGCGTGTGTGAGAGTTGCATACGTAGTTGAGTCGGATCATATTTTATTTGATGCTAGTATGAGCGTACCTTATCTTCCCCATTTTGTTTTAATCTAAGGGAATAGTACAGTGAATTTACAATCCTACTTATAAATTATTCTGTCCATCACTTTGACATTGTTGAATTCACACAGGAACGCGGTATAGCCGTTTGGGGTAAACTAGTATCAAACAATCCTAAAGTCCTGGACTTGTGTCGAGGTATTGAAACGTTCTTCAAGGAAGCAGACTCTGGAGTGTTACAGGTAAAGATTTTAAATATATATCTACTGGGAGGCGAAAACATAAGGTTTGCTCAAAAGCAAGGGTTACTTTGACTTTGTTTTTTTGAATTTTTGACTTATGATTTAGATAGAAATGCTCGTACTCATCATACAAACATTTGCTTTACCCGGATTCGTACTCAGGACTCTGAGTAAACATCACTTTGAATCAAATACTACTTGTATGACAGAGGCCGTCGGAATAAGTAAATAGTGCAAAAAATCACAGATCTCGTGCTCTACACGACTTGAAAGGGTATTATAAATGAATCTACCAACTATAGATAAATTAATTTTAATTTTTTTAAAACCAACTTTTTCCAAAATATTTTTACATCATCTTAAAGCCCTTCGAATTCCGCCTCTTTTGAGCTCTCATACGTCCTCGTGGCCCTAAACCTCGGGATATCACGGCCGAATCGCACTTTCAGCGAAAACGGGTGCCTATTGGAGCGAATGAAAAAACATTTTCAATGTTAAAAAGTTCTAGTCCTTGTTTGGGTATTGCTAGATAAAGATGGTTTAAATAAAACGCTGTAAGCAATAAAACTGCCCCAATGAGGAATCAATCAAGTACAAATTTAATTTTGGGATCTCCTGAATGCATAAAGCTGATGACATTAAAATTTATTTATCATGGGCCATACGGTACCAGCGCCTCTGATGGCCAGAATTGTCAAGTTTTCTTCAACATTGAGGCAATTTTACCTATTTTTGATATATATAGGTATTCTATTTTGTTTATACTGTTCTGAGGCTTTGTGTATCTTAAACACTATTCCCCTGATACAACATCTCCAAAGTCAGTTAAAGAAATTTGACACATTGGGGTACCTTGACCAGTTTGCAATTAGAATATCATCTTCACAGATTCCTGGTGAATATGAAACGGCCATTTGGAATGAGGGTGGCAGGTATTACATCTACCACCCGTGGCCCGCAGACCGGTATGGATACAAGGTAAATATTAGTTTCTTAGGTTTTCACGCACATCACTCATTAAATAAAACTAGTTTTTACGGGTTAATGCACGAAACTTTATTTATTTATTGACGTTTCGCAGCCTTTTCAGGTCTGCGTCGCACATTGTGTTATTTCACCTCAAAATTACCACTCCCTTGATTAAAGGTGAATCAGATAAAGCTCTTCATTCTAAGCGCAAGAGTAAAACTCCCACGATTCTAACTATAATAGTTTCGACGAAATCCCGGTTTTTCTTTTTTTGTACCACATTGTGAAAAAGAAATAAAAAAATATTTTGTCTAAACTATTACAGTTACTTTATTTTTTACATTGTATTTCAAAAAGTATTATTTTTATCCATATTATGAGTCTTCTATGGCTGCCCTAGAGCTTGTAGGAACCGAGAAATCGGCGATTTAGTGATTTTCGTTTTTAATTTTTTGTGCTCATGTTATGCAATATTAAAGCTTATAATTTAGTTCAAAATGTAGCTAATAATGTAGACTATCAACTCAAAAAATAACAAGCTTTAACTCGGTGGTATATCGGAAATATTAAGAATCTAAATTTGTGGGACAATGTCCCACATTTTGAAGACTTAATTTTGAAAACGTAGTTATGCTACTTTTTAAATATTATACTATAATAACTATATAAATACGTTGTTATTATATTATTTACTATTTATATAAGATTACTAGCTGACCCAGCGAACTTCGTACCGCCATAAAAAAATTTAATTAAAAAAACATTGTCCAGCGGACAAAATTGTGAATCTAAACCATTCTCAGATCCCCTTGAACACACACAAAAAATTTCATCAAAATCGGTCCAGTCGTTTAAGAGAAGTTCAGTGACATACACACTCACAGAAGAATTATATATATAAAGATAAATGTGTTTGGTATGTTTGTTACATAATCATCCACTTTTGTGGGCCAGTTTTGTTTGGATGAAATGTGGCACACAGACATTAAGTTCTTCCCTATTAAGTGCAAATAAACAAATTAATCTGTTTAAACATTATCTGTCGTAAACACATTGTCTTCGTTATGAAGAACAGTTGTGAATTCATTTTCTTCACTTTCTATGCATGCAGTTTCGTCGTTGACATCACTGTTATCGTCATATAAACATCCCAAACTGTCTTTTTTTCGTTCTGCAGTAATTTGTCCTATGTCAGAATTTTTTATTACTCGCCACTGTCTGACTTTTGGGTCATTTTTTCACTTGGGATACAAAAATGACCCAAGAGTCAGACAGTGGCGAGTAATAAAAAATTCTGACATAGGACAAATTACTGCAGAACGAAAAACAGAAATCCAAAATCAAATTAAGCAAAGTATGGGTCTATTGGTAGACGTTTTTAAGCCTAACTCAGGGACCACGAATGATGGTAATACGGCTCGTCGAGTATTCAAAAGTGAACAAAGCCGCCAGACGTTTGCCAATATACTTGATATTGAGAAATGGCTCGTAGATGATTTAAATGTAATTTTAATAGCCATCAATTCGGGATTACCAATAGACGCCCAAAAATTCGGTACTTTTTGCCAAAATATAGCTAAAAAATACGTAGAAAACTACAACTGGCACCCTATGACTACTACCCTTCACAAAATCCTAATTCACGGAGAGAAAATTATAGAGAATTCAGCGCTACCCATTGGACTACTCTCCGAACAGGCAGGAGAATCCAGGAACAAGTTTTGGCGTCAGGACAGAGAACATCGCAGCCGGAAAGATTCTAGGGTTCATACCATGACCGACTTATTTCACAGGGCGCTCGAGTCATCCGACCCTGTGATATCGGCTATACGGCTAAAACATCGTGAAAATAACCGAATGAGAATGCCACTGCCACAGGCTGTAATAAATTTATTAAAACCGGACAGTTCGGGATGTTTATATGACGATAACAGTGATGTCGACGACGAAACTGCATGCATAGAAAGTGAAGAAAATGAATTCACAACTGTTCTTCATAACGAAGACAGTGTGTTTACGACAGATAATGTTTAAACAGATTTATTTGTTTATTTGCACTTAATAGGGAAGAACTTAATGCCTGTGTGCCACATTTCATCCAAACAAGTTGGCCCACAAAAGTGGATGATTATGTAACAAACATACCAAACACATTTATAATCTTATATAAATAGTAAATAATATAATAACAACGTATTTATATAGTTATTATAGTATAATATTTAAAAAGTAGTATAACTACGTTTTCAAAATTAAGTCTTCAAAATGTGGGACATTGTCCCACAAATTTAAATTCTTAATATTTCCGATATACCACCGAGTTAAAGCTTGTTATTTTTTGAGTTGATAGTCTACATTATTAGCTACATTTTGAACTAAATTATAAGCTTTAATATTGCATAACATGAGCACAAAAAATTAAAAACGAAAATCACTAAATCGCCGATTTCTCGGTTCCTACAAGCTCTAGGGCAGCCATAGAAGACTCATAATATGGATAAAAATAATACCTTTTGAAATACAATATAAAAAATAAAATAACTGTAATAGTTTAGATAAATTTTTTTTTTATTTCTTTTTCACAATGTGGTACAAAAAAAGAAAAACCGGGATTTCGTCGAAACTATTATAGTTAGAATCGTGGGAGTTTTACTCTTGCGCTTAGAATGAAGAGCTTTATCTGATTCACCTTTAATCAAGGGAGTGGTAATTTTGAGGTGAAATAACACAATGTGCGTCGTTTATTCTGACGATGCAGACCTGAAAAGGCTGCGAAACGTCAATAAATAAATAAAGTTTCGTGCATTAACCCGTAAAAACTAGTTGTATTTAACAAGGTAAATATTAGTTTCTTAGGTTTTCACGCACATCACTCATTAAATAAAACTAGTTTTTACGGGTTAATGCACGAAACTTTATTTATTTATTGACGTTTTGCAGCCTTTTCAGGTCTGCGTCGTTTATTCTGACGATGCAGACCTGAAAAGGCTGCGAAACGTCAATAAATAAATAAAGTTTCGTGCATTAACCCGTAAAAACTAGTTTTATTTAACAAGGTAAATATTTTTTGTCCTATCACTTATTGTGTTTGAAGGAGTTTCAATGGACATAGAAAGCAAATTATAACTACAAAGTTGATCGGCGACAACCATATTAAATACCCTAGATAGATACACCAACACGAACAAAATCGTGCCCGAAATCTTTCGTTCTTTCTTCCATTCAAGTTTCATACCTGTAGAATACAATTAAATGGAAGCAATAAATGACTTGCATGGTCTAAATAGCACATATCATTCTTGATCTGTTATTCAAGATGTCTTTCGAAACTTTTCTTGGTATAAAAATTACAAACAATAATTGAGCTTTTCTGCGGTTATCACACAATTTTAACAAACGCTGGTTATAATAACTTTTAAAATATTTTTAAGTGTGTGTGTAGACTGTATGAGTGAAGTGTTTATATGATGAAAGTAGAGTAATATTCACAGTTCTTACTGGTCACGCCACAAAACCCGGCAAAAAAAACCCGGCGCGGAGGAGCGATTATGTACAAGAAGAAAAACACAAAAAATTTAGAGGGAAACTGTAGTACCTGTTCGTTTGTGGGCTGGTTCCTTTTGATGCCTGTTCTTCCTGTCCTGGAGAAATGTTCGCCTGTGGCGCGCCACTATTTTTTTTTTGCACTAATGTTCGCGGGCCCCGGGCCGGAAATATGTATATGCGAAAAGCGTCTCCGGAGCGCGGTTTATTCGCAGTCGTGGGAGTTTCTCCTAGTATCTCTTCTCGCGGCGATCAGAGCACACAACGACCGTTGCTTTTTCTCTCGTCCGTTCGTTCGAAGTACAGTGATGGCAGCGCCGCGGACGAAGTTGATAACAGGTGAGTTTAGGGGAAGGGAGAAGGAATATGTGTAATATGTATAAGCTTGTGAAAACTCACAATGGAAGCCTACATCGCGCAAGAGAAATTCGGAGCCAAACACTCCATATATACGATGCCCGACCAACATCAGTTGGGCCGCGGCCCCCGAGCTAACATCACCGAGCTCGGAGGAAGATCTTCCCCTTTGGCCTTCCTACACACAAGAAAATTACATCGTGTAAATAAGTCTTTACCCCAGTATTCCTTAACGTAAGTCTTACAGTGCTTACTTTAGCTAATTTATGCGAGTGTTAGAAAAAAATATTTATTTATTCCCCAATAGGTTGGTCTCCAAGACGGTGGTAAAGCTTGCCTGCTCTATTTCACTCGCGTGTCCCGCCTCTGTGAACACTTCATGGACAGCGTTCCGGACTTGAAGAGGAAACCTTTCAGCATATCCGATGTTCAAGTCTTCGAGCAGAAGGAGCTGCCTGAACCAGTCAATAAGTTGAAACGTGAGTCGAAAGGACTTAAAAATCTTCGCACCTCTGGAAATAAATATCCTCTCCCATTTTCGATGTAGCTTAAGTGGCTTAAATAACTCCTTTCTCCTCAATATTTATTATCCTATATCATTGTCGCTTAAGAGCCCTTTCACATTTTTTGCAAAAAATCGTAATTTTTGAGCGCCTTATTTACCCCCTTAGAAAAGATTTTGACTATTTCCAATAGAAGTTAACAGTAGAATTATTCTTCCTATTGAAAGTTAATGTAAAATATTTTCAAATACTATTTTCCTTTTTTGTACTGATCGTTCTACCGCAGCTAGTTTACAGAAAAAACGATAAGATGCACAACTTCAAACGCCTGAATCTCTGAATAATGTTCAATAAATAAGTTCAAATTAATTACTACGACATCAGAAATATGTTTTTGTTGTAACATAATGTATTAGAATTTTGATTTTCTATCCCATTAATTACTAAGTAACGGCAGAGGTGCAATTTTTTTTCCTTTATTCCATACATATTTTTTTCCTTTTTTTATTCTTTATTATATATGTAAAACAATATGCTAAAAAATGTGTTCCTTCTATTGTTCGGGACGGCAACGACTAACTATGCTAACGATGACAGAATGGCTGTGTCGATTCTTGTAATAGTATTACTTACGCTGCAAGGCAGCGCCATTTCTTACCGTTGTTGGCAACTCAAAATCCTCTTGGAAAGTGGAAAGTGTAGGTTCGAATATGGTTCGAATTTTGCCTGATGACTAGACCGAGTAAAATTTTGTTAAATGTAGCAGTTTTCATAATATAATATCGTATATTGTTCTCCATTCAGCTGTGGCACCAAACCGCTGGATAATACGCGGCAGTTTTCACGAGGGCGACGAGAGATTCCCAGAAGAGCACAGAAACAGACAAGCCACACCTGCCTCCATAGCCGCCATAGCTATGGCCCATATTGTAGACCCTGCTGATTGGACCGCTGAAGAAGTTGATGAGGTTATTATAGCGCAGATACTACAAATTAGAAATGATATGGATACATTACTGTCTAACAAAGGCCGCTTAAACATGGTTCCAAACCCATACAACTGAACTTTTATACTAACGTGACACGTACACACACAAAACTAAATACCTTGACAAATCAATTATCTGCAAATGCATTCATTGGGTAAGATTGGGTTAGTTAAATGGAAATCCCAACCTAACTTACTACTCAATATTTTTGTAAACATTACGGTTGCAATAAAAAAAAATCTTGACAATCTTTATTGAGTTGATGATGATACACCAATAATGTTCTTTCTTCTGGGGCACAAGGCTTAGATCTTAATAATGGCTGAGATTCTAAAAATGTCTTCCACAGGTCCTAATCCGAGGGGACATACTCTACCAAAACACCATGGAACACCTAGAAAAAATGGGCATTAGCTTAGACTCCCCCAAGATCGAAGAAGAAGCCGGTGAAGAGGAGTACCAGTCTTCAGGGGGTGGAGTACTGGCTGCAGCCGATGTGCTGAACAGATTCAAGATATCCGACTACGATTGTATCGAGACGGAGGTTATGGATAGCACTTTGAATGGTAAGTGAAGGTGTTGTACAAACTATTGTATGTAATTTAGTAAAGGAGATTTTTCTAGCGTTTTTTAATTTAAAGTTTTACTGTGTTTTTTTATTATTATTCCTTTATTAACTTGAGATTTTCGGTGTCTAAGATTTTAAGCTTATTCTGGGATTAAAAATATAATATGTCTCAATTCAGGAAACAAACTATGTGCCAAATATCATTCGATTCTATTCAGTGTTTTTTTTTTGGAATTCAGAAACAAAAATACAAATTTCACTGATGCTGTGGTGAACGCCTTCGTTTTGTGATTGTAGAAGTTAGTTAACCTTGATATAGCATCATCATTTAATGATCATTTTATCATTTAATGATGTTTGTCAAAAAAAATATTTATTGTCTATCACTCCGCCGTGCTTCGGATGGCGTTGAGCCGTTGGTTTTGGCTGTATCTATAGTTTTTAGAACCTTTCGAATCAACTATGTGCCAGCTTGACTTGTCATTATAATTGTTTCTAAACCAAAAACAGATATTAAACCGTTTTTATTGGGATTTAATGGGTTTAAATCACGGATTTTATATTCATTCGCATCTTTAGACATCTTTGACCCAACCTATTTCATCCTTAAGAAAGGTGCATGCCCCGGCAGTGGGGACAATATAAGACCAATTAATGAATCTTTCCTTCTCCCAACAAGGTCATCTAAACCCAGAACCAGGTTCTGGCCAGACCTCGCTAAAGGATTCCTTGAACCATCTCTTCAAGGAGTATTCTCACGCTGTGTTCACTGCTAGAGGAGCTTCGAACGCTATATGGAAGCAAGACGAACACTTGTACTACTACGACCCGCATGGATGTGATGAGAACGGTAGATTGAAATAAAACTTTGAGTAAGAAGTATTGTGTGCTTTAATTATAAACATGCCTTGATAAAGCAATCCAAATAAAGCACGCAAAGAAAACGGTTCAAGTTACGCGCAATGTGTGCGTGGCTCTAATGTCAGATTGTTTGAAAGCAGGCAATGTGTGCTTGTGTAGTGACGAGCGTATCTACCATATGTAGTAGATATTTTTCGGCACTTCCGTGCAGTTCTGGGCGTGTTATAATCTTGTATATTACAAATTTAGTACGTCGCTCTTAGATAAGATGTTAAAATTTTTGTAAGGGTAATTTAAAGTTTTTCATGATCTTAAACAATTTTGTTTCTTAAGTTTTCTGGCACACAACTCATTAAATGGAACACGCTTAAACAAGTTTAAAATATGTTATTATTACTATTTGACGTTTCGTAAAAATTATAATTTAGATAAAGTAATAATAATACGCATTTTTAAAGTGTGTTTTATTTAATTTGATCTTAAACCATCGTATATTAATGACTTTCAAATTAAATCAAAATGAAACATTGTCATATTATTGCCTAAAAATTGAAATGAAACCAAAAGGAGATATGAAACTGATTAGGTCACACCGGTTCTAAGGTTTCAAAGTCTACGATGGATATAGGTAGAGACAATTTTAGTGTTTTACTTACTCAAATGCGTTTAACGGTATGTTTTAAGTAGCGACCCGCTATAGCATTGCATTTTCAATATGATGGTAACCTAGTATATGACAATAATAATGTAGCTATGTCCTACTACTGGTCAAAGATTTTTTAAAATCGGTTCATAAGTCTGAAAGATTACTTCTTACAAACAAATTTTAGGGAAATACCGATTCCCAGCAGTAGGGACACTAAAAGGCTGATTATTAACAAGCTTTTTCTTTCCCACCACAATAATGTAATAAATTTTCATTCTTTTACTAATGTCAATGTTGCAAGTTCAAGTATTTAACTCTTTCTTTGTCACTTACTCTCCAGGTAATCCATCAGAAGAACCTCTTTCTGCCGCTTGCCTTGTCCGAATCAAGGGTGGAGTAGACGAGCTAGCTAAAGTTATCCTCGGTAACTTACCACCTGGTGCCGACGATAGCTTCAACATATCCCCCGTTTGTATCACCGCTAGCAAACTGAACGCTGAGATCGGAGCTCCGGAGACTAAGCTTGAGGTAATCTTGCAGTGTGTTCCTATGGATGGAATAGGGAGATTGGGCCATGACCCACCACGGGGGCCCAGTGTGGATTGGTGGGTGCTAACGACTGCAGATGCAGCCGGGACCAACGGCTTAACGTGCCTTCTGAAGCACGGAGGAGCTCGAGATGATAGTTATTCTTGGTCACCCATCCAATGACCGACCACTGCGAAAGTTGCTTAAGTTCAACGATCACTGCCGAACGCGCTAACCACTTGCGCCATCGCTTCCTGGAGCCTTTGGAGCTTCTCATATATATATATATATATATACATATATATATATATATATATATGGATAAGTTCTCGTTTATAATAAAATAACAGAAACAACAAACAAGTTTGTATAGTTTCTCGTCAACGCGACGACTATTGGGATATTGGACTCCTCTTTCTTAATAATTTGTATTGATATCTGTATTAAAATTACGCTTCTTTTAATATTTTGTTCCAGAGCAAAGCATTCCAATGGATAAATAAAGGCACAGCCGCCATAATGATGGGTCCTCGCGCTGAAAACACTGCGATCGGAAAGGCGGCCACTAAAATCGGTGTTGGGGTAAGAGATATTATAAAAGTAAATAAAAATGTAGATAATAATAATAATATATTTCGTGTGGGAGTAGTGGCGCGATTAAACTTGGTCGTTAGCCCGAACACGAGTGCACTTGGCATTCGAGTAAACGACCAAGTGTATGGACGAGACGATGAGTGGAGTCGAGTACGCCTGTATTCAGGTAGATTTGTGTTTACCCGACACCTTTTTCCAGCCCGTATTCAAGTGTACATATTGCTTCATCATCATCATCATCATCAGCTTATTAATGTCCCCACTGCTGGGGCACAGGCCTTCCCTATGGATGGAATAGGGAGATTTGGCCATGACCCACCACGCGGGCCCAGTGCGGATTGGTGGGTGCTAACGACTGCAAATGCAGCCGGGACCAACGGCTTAACGTGCCTTCCGAAGCACGGAGGAGCTCGAGATAGTAAATTTTTGGTCACCCATCCAATGACCGACCACTGCGAAAGTTGCTTAACTTCAACGATCGCAGCCGAACGCGCTAGCCACCTGCGCCATCGAGCTCCTCTTCATATTGCTTCGGGTGCTCGAATTCGAGTAATATGAATGTAACTCCTCTCTTCTATCTATCTCTCATTTAGTTGCGTGCCCGACAGGGTCTATAATGATCGTATCTTGTCATTTTTAACATCTTTTTGTACATTGTGGATATGCAATAAACGAATTGAATTAATGTCTTTCGTGCACCCAAATACTGGCTAGCGACCAAATGTAGTTACGCTATAAGAGTGAATACAGAATCATAACAAAGAGGAATGAATAAGAGGAAATAATTAAGCTAGTGAAGTCTGTGTAAGAGCAAGAGAGAAAAACTATTAAATCAAGGAAAAGAGTTGAGAATATTGCAAAGAATAAAGTCGATGTAGGATTAAGAGTGTTTGTTAAATAAGGAGAAAAAATATTAAAAAATAATACTCTATTCAACTTGCTCTGAGCCAAAAAATAAACAAACCTTTTTTTTTAATAGAACAAATTTTATATGCATGTAAAATTATAATAAAAAGACCTAAAACTGTAACTATTCCCAAACTTTGAACGCATTGTGATACTGCAAAATTGAAGAGTGCAGAAAAAGAAAATTTTGTAATTTACGTTGAAATGTGATATTTTGTAAACAGTCAGGTTGTTAAGCCGACCATCTTCATTCTCGATAAAAAACTTTGTTTTTGGTAGCATTGGTTTATTTGTTTACCTTTTTTCCCAGAGAAAGTTGAATAGAGTATAGTTGATGTACGTAATAGTAAGAGTTCTTTAAAGCCAGGAGAAAGAACAGTTTAGATTGCAATCAATTAGCAAATTCACATGTCGATATCTATCTCCACTTTATTTAAGGAATTGCCAAATTTACGTAAACGGTGTGTTCACATTAAAGGAAACAAACGCCATTGTTAGATAATGTTTGACCAAAAGTGGAGATAGCAAAATTTCTTGTTAAGCAGATGATATGGAATATTTTATAGAATCTTTATTTCAGGACCATGACAAAGCGGGCCGCACATTAGCCTTACCCTCTGCCGCTGCTTTTGTGGCCGCGTCCGAATCTGTACCACCGCCTCATATGCATCAAGACCATATGTATAACTTTCTAGGTATGTATGGTAGTGTATGCCGTTGCGTTACAGCCTCGGCTGGCGGTTATATTAAAAAGGTAATGTCATGATTTTTTAAGATTTGAAATTGAGAATCGTCTGTCGCTTGATAGAAGATTCCAGGAGATAGAAATCAGGCACCACAACATACGGTTACGCATTAAGATACAATTATTATAGTCGCCTTGATTTCTAATTAAATAAGAGTATTAAGGCTTATTACTTGTTTTCCATCTGATAATGTTATGCTCCCAGGGCCTATCCTTTCAGGGTAGATCGCCGCAGTAGTAAGTCTAAGATCCTAAGTCTAAGAAGTCAAGAGATTTTTAATCATGTAACAGATATAGATTAGTAATAATTAAATAGATTTGTCATTTTGATTTGGCATGTATCCATATCTTTTGCAATAAATGCTGTAAGATTCGACCGACAGCATGTAAAAGCATAGGTGCTAAAGAATATATACTTACAGAACCCTTAGTGTACGAGTACAACTCGTGCCTAACTAATTTTCTTTTGTACTTTACTATGTTAATTTTACAAAATAAAGTAAAGTTAATTGATAAATAACATAAAATAAACAATTTTGTTTTTGCGTATGAAGCTGGCTTCATTGCTTCATAACTTTTTTCAATGACAACTAAGTGTTAATCTTTACTTGAGCACAGTTAGAAAGGGATATCGCTATGTGCTATATATAGCAACATCCCTTTCTAACTAGATCAATCACTGATATAATCTTTCTATAATACGGGCAACTCGCACTTAACTTTTTTTTTTGGACTTCACTATGTTTATTTTACAAAATAAACTAAAGTTAATTGATAAATAACATAGAATAAACAATGATAACAATCTTTCCAATGGTATATTGCATGTTGTTATTGGTTCTTAGGCAGGCTTCCATACAGTTTTGCCCGTTTTCATTTCTTCCACTTCTGTAGTCATTACAATTATGATTTCATATCCCATCTAAGGGATTTCATATCTTTCTATGAGAAGCTCAATGGCGCAACTGGTTAACGCGCTCGGCTGCGATCGTTGAAGTTAAGCAACTTTCGCAGTGGTCGGTCATTGGATGGGTGACCAAAAATTTACTATCTCGAGCTCCTCCGTGCTTCGGAAGGCACGTTAAGCCGTTGGTACCGGTTGCATCTGCAGTCGTTAGCACCCACCAATCCACACTGGGCCCGCGTGGTAGGTCATGGCACAATCTCCCTATTCCATCCCTATGGATAATCTCCCTATCCATACTGCTGGGGCACAGGCTTTCCAAAGTAACTTTCGCAGTGGTCGGTCATTGGATGGGTGACCAAAAATTTACTATCTCGAGCTCCTCCGTGCTTCGGAAGGCACGTTAAGCCGTTGGTCCCGGTTGCATCTGCAGTCGTTAGCACCCACCAATCCACACTGGGCCCGCGTGGTAGGTCATGGCACAATCTCCCTATTCCATCCCTATGGATAATCTCCCTATCCATACTGCTGGGGCACAGGCTTTCCCTATGGAAAGCCTGTGCCCCAGCAGTGGGGACATTAATAGGCTGATGATGATGATGATCCCATCTAAAAGCCGAAACGAATTTAATATTATTCTAATTGAAATTCTTCTTCTAATTTTACATATTTGTTTGCTTCACGTAGAGTGATATGTTATTCTGTTGTTAGGAAAGATGTTCTCATTTTGGAACGGGCGGTAATATTGTGTCACACTTTTTATAAACTGCAACGGTCAATAATTTTGGTACTAGCTAAGTTTTTTTTTTAGTTCCAAATACTATATCATTATCTCCAAATAATTATCCAGATGCCGGTGCAGATTACTACATAAACCATTTGAAGAAGACTGGTCGCAAGGACATTCAACCGGAAGACTTGACCGAGAAGTTTGAAATGGGAGCAAACACATTCTCCATAGAATTGGGAGAACCTATAAAATTGCCGTTGAGGCTGCCTGATGAACCGGCCGGTGTAAGTATATCGTCTATATTTAGATAAATAGAATAAATAAATAAAGATGGTTGGTGTGGCAGTTTATAACTGCTGTACCAGCTATCTTTGCGTTTGGACTTTATCACCACTTAACATTAGATGGGGTAGAGTCATTTGCCTATCTGGCTATATATTAAAAAGTGAAAAAAAAAAATACTTTGATGAACAAAGGATATTATCAAGTCCAAGATTACTTTTAGATGACAGAAATTTAAATCTAATATGAAAAATCTTTGACATGTTTAAATTATAATCGATTTATTTCAAATTGTATGCTGACATTTTAATAATATTTAATTTTATTAATATTGCATGAAGTAGTAATTTAATTGTAAATTGTTTGATTGACTTTGAAATGTTATTATATAAGATTTTTTGTAATTTTATGGTAATCATATTTAAATGGATGGTAATTTTAATTTTATCTAATATTTTTATTGTAAATTGTTTGTGATTTCCAAAACGATGAAAATTGTTTAAGGAATAAATGACTATGACTATGACTTGAATGATCGAAGTGTCTTGTAATAAACAACACTTTACTCATTGAATTAAGCAAATTCCTGTCAGTATATTGACAAGTAACTGTATAATTATTGCATCTAATGAATTTTGTTGGTAGCGAAATGATTTATGTAAATGTTGCTACTTCTGTTAATGCTATAATTATTAAATAATTATATTTAGATAGATATCGTTTGGTACTTTTAAAAGATTTTAATAATGGTACATGGAGCCAAAATATAAGCCCCGATTGACGGAGCAAAACAAAACTACGTAACGACAACCAGAATTGTAGTTACGGTTTTAAGAAAGTTCTTAGGTTTTATTTAACTAATATTTATGAATACAAAAGTGTAAGTGTATTTAGAATGTGAAAGTTTGTTAATCAATCACGTAAAAACAACTGAATGGATTTGGTTGAAATTTGGTACGAATATAGTTTGTGACTCGGATTGAGACAAAGATTTGATTCTCAATCTTGGAAAATGCGAGATTCCTGAGGGATTCTTCAAAAACCAATTTAAACGCGGACAAAGCCACGGACGACCGCTAGTAACATTACATTAATATGAATTATTTGATTTAGCAAAAAATAAGTTGTACAATTAGCACACCCATTATCCCATTCGAATAGTTGAATTCGATCTAGATGTACGTCAAATGTGTACTGATTTTAGTTCTCGATACGCCCGTTGTGGCGCTGCTGCTCAAGTTTCCATAAAAATTTTGACGTTGACATTTTGCACTCGAAAACTATTCGAATTCGATATTGGCTTGTGCTAAGGGTACTGCTCTATGAAAGAACATGAAAAAACACGCCGAGTGGACGCTCGCTCCGTGCTCCCGATTCTGGACAATAATTCTGGACTGAAAATTTTAAAGATTTGCGTTAAGAGGGGAGGCGGGCAATGTTTTTTCCATACAAACGTTCCCGACTCCTTGATTTTTATCACTGAAAAATATGTTTTCATACTTAAACTATAATTATACTCATCATATGCTCATATTATGTCTTCCTTTATTGGATAACTTGTGATTCAAAGAAACTGGAACACTCAAAAATTACAAAAATAAACTAATTATTATCACCACCAGTCTGCCGTCCTCAAGCTAAAACGCGGCTAAATAACAAAAAACCCACTTGAGATATGGCCAAAAAACAACTTTAAATTATTGCTATTTTGTTCATCACATGACGGATTTTTAGACTTAAATTATAAAGGATACGAATACTTGTTAAAGAGATGCAATTTAAGACTGAAAAATCAACCATATGTCACTAAGCCGCACTTTAGTTTGAGAACGGCAGTAGTGTGGAGATTACATAAGCATTTACAAAAAAAACAAACCATAGAGGCATAGCATAACTACTTATCGTTCTATGGGTAAAATTTCTTTTATATAATATATATCTAATTTTCGAAGAGGAAATCATCGAGAGCGATTTTTGGAATTTTTATACGCAATTTTCAGCATTAACTACTGTTGTCCCTATCGCACGGTATTTGCCAATGCGTGACAGCAATAGTTTTTTGAAATACCTATTTCTCAAATGCCTCTCAGCTTGCGTCCGCTTTTAACGCAGCACACACTCTAAAACTCCCCAAAAAAATCTCGGAAAGAGTCCTGTGTGTAGACGTGTCATTTGTAAATTCCGTAAGTGTTGGTCTAAATAAAATTGCTTTCTTCTAGGAAGGTGAAGAGGAAGCTGGCGAAAAAGAAATAGGCGAGATGGAAGAAGAAGAAAAGGAAGAACCGATGAAACGTAAGACAATGATGTAATTTGTTAGTTGATGGGTATTGGTTATTTTTCATAACAGTAATATGGTACCTATCTAATGCCGCTTCCTATATACTAAATATAAAATTAACTATAATAAAAATAAGTCGGGTTTTCCTTCCTGACGCTATAACTCCAGAACGCACGAACCGATTTCCACGGTTTTGCATTCGTTGGAAAGGTCTCGGGCTCCGTGAGGTTTATAGCAAAGAAAATTCAGGAAAAATTAAAAAAAAACTTCTTTTAATCACCAAAGAAATGTTACATAAAACGAAGCCATCTGGTGGCGAAACGGAGTTCGCCGGGTTTGCTAGTTAACTATAAAATCTGTCGTAACTATATATCTTTATTCTAAATGATGTATTGTAAGGTGACTTTAGAAGTGACTCTGAAGTCATTTTTCAACTTGACGACTCTGTATATAACGTACAGGGAGAAAAAACAGCCCTTGCTGAGTTTCTTGCCGGTTCTTCTCAGTACAAGGTCTCCCGTAGTTTTGCTAACCGATGACGTAGCTTCTTGACCTTCACAAGTGCTTGTAACAGCTTAGACTGAATGAACGATTTTTGATTTTGATTTTAAAGTAAACATGTATTATTTCTTACTTTTTAGTGGTTTTTATTTTCATGAAGTGGGTTTTTTTGGCAGAGATAAAAGATGCTCTCTTCAAAATGTGGTACGACGAGACCAAACCGACTTCAGTATCTCTCCTTGTCGGAGATTATCATCAGATGGGAGTGTGGATGGCAGCAGGGGGGAAAGTTGTAGCTTTTGATCCAGCACCGATAGTGGCTAAAGGAATGCTTACAGTTCAAAGGATTCAGAAAGGTGAGATTTAATGATTCTATAGCTCTATAAAGACCGGTTTCAGTAATCAATAAATAGAAATAGGAAGTGTGGATGGGAAGGATGGAAAAGTTGTAACTTTTGATTATAATAGCAAATAGGTCTACAGGTCTGGTACCAACAGAGAGGTAGCAGCTATTCTAGGTTATATGGGATATTAACTTGTTTTTTTTTTAACTTGGGAAATTTAACTGCCTTATTTAAAAACGTTGAATAAAGTTAAACCTGGTTTATATACATAGCATTAGATTTATACCACGACTAACTTTAGTCCATGTTTTGGAATAAGGTATTAAAAGTTTAAAACGTCTAGTCTCCGACAATCATCATCATCATCAGCCTATTAATGTCCCCACTGCTGGGGCACAGGCCTTCCCTATGGATGGAATAGGGAGATTGGGCCATGACCCACCACGCGGGCCCAGTGCGGATTGGTGGGTGCTAACGACTGCAGATGCAGCCGGGACCAACGGCTTAACGTGCCTTCCGAAGCACGGAGGAGCTTATGTTATTAAATTTTTGGTCACCCATCCATTGACCGACCACTGCGGAAGTTGCTTAATTTCAACGATCGCAGCCGAACGCGCTAACCACTTGCGCCATCGAGCTCCTCCGACAATATATCCAATATAATAACGGGAATATTATTAGATAACGAATATCACGGGTTTATTCCCAAAAATTTCAATATCTCTGTAAATATGGCCAACCTTCCGGGGCAATTTCGAAATTTTCAAGACATTGAAAATTATCATAAGATATTTCGTCTTATTAATTGTTAATCTTGAAACATCTCAGTAAAATGTTGGTGTGTATTAAACACACATCAACAAAATCTAAGCATCATTTATGCATACTGCAAATCACTTAATATTCTATATGAGCGTTATGAAATGTGTAGTTTATTTTTTACTTTACTCCCTAATCAATACTATTTGACTACCTCCGTGGCTGATGGTTTGTACGTCGGGTTTCAAGGTGTCGCCTACTCGGGAGGTCTCAGGTTCAAATCCCGGCGGAGGCAGATGTTTGTGTGATGAATACGAGGATTTGTGCTGTAGTCATGGATGTTTCATAATGTATTTCTATATAAATATACTTATATATGTATTAATATACTTATACACTTATATAAGTTTACTTAGACTCTTTTGATGATTATACTTATAAACTCCACAGGTGATGAGATTCGTCTCCAAAGGCTCAAAGACGAGATGACCGGAGAAGGGGCAGGCGATGAAGAGGAGGAAGAAGACGAAGAATTAGGAGGTGATGAAATAAATCATTCCAAAATACTGTAGATTTTACGATTGCGATACCAAAAATATCACTCGCTCCTAAGCATACCCTTTTTTTGTCTGGGAAATGCCTTACGCATCCTTCAACCACTGGGAAAGCGAGAAGAAGGTATGTCGGACTCCTCGCTGTCCACTTCAGCTATCCCTGAGGCTCGCTGAAGTGTACAGGGCCCTACCTACGCCCTGAACAGAGCCACTAAAAACCAGACAATATCCCTGCACCGTGTCATCCGATCCGCATTGCTAGAACCGCAGTCCCAGCAATGCTGATCGGGAATGCGGGTATTGTTGCGGTACCCTGTGATAGGGATGCGCCGAACCGATCCGATCCTTTGAAAGATCGGATCGGAAGGCATACGATCCGGTGATTTTCGGATCGGATCGAGGCCATACGATTTTTGGCCAGATCGTTACAAAACTTGAAAGATCGGATCGCTTGGATCGTATGAATTAAAACGCGGTTTGTTTACAATAAATTGGGTAGGTACTTACTAAGTTTTCTGTTACGAACTTTATCTTTGTTTACATTTTAAATTGGCGGCATTATTTGCAGGTGGATCCGTTAATCTTATACATTCTATTATTATAAACAAAAGTTGTACCTGATTGGGTGTGACGATTATTGATAGGTTTACCAAATAAAAATCTAAAATAATTTGTCATTTATTGTATCCAATCCGATCCGATTTCTTGAAGATCGGATCGACGGCATGCGATCCGATCCGCGGATCGGATCGTAGCATTACGATCCATTACAATCCGAAAAATCGGATCAACGACCCGGATCGCACATCCCTACCCTGTGCAGACTGCCCGCACACCCGCAAGGTGATTGTTCGTTTTCGGATTCCCCCCTGACGTGCTTTGCCTCGGGACATGAAGGGCACCACCCATCCCAGGAACCGTGCATTGTGAGTAGACGCACCGTTGCACCGTTGCTTAAATGATGTAATGGAAGGCGACTTCAGACGTATCTCTGAAGTCATTTTTGACAACTCTGTAAATAAACAACAATACAGGGAGAAAAAAACAGCCCTTGCTGAGTTTCTTGCCGGTTCTTCTCAGTACAAGGTCTCCCGCCGTAGTTTTGCGGACCGATGGCGTAGCTTCTTGACCTTCACAAGTGCTTGTCCTAGACTGAATAAATGAGCATTTCATTTCATTACCCTGACCCCATTCCCTACCCTCTGGAGCCTCCTTCTGGAACCTTACTCACTGACAGAAACAGAACACCGCCAAAGGATAGTATTATTTGTGGTCTTCTATAAGTTGTTGGTTACTTCCCCAGACGGGTGCTCCAATTTGATCGGGAAATCCGCCTTACATTACCTCTCTAAAATATTTATACTAGTTTTTAATCCCATCATCTGTAAATGTTGTCGTAAAATAATACTCCCCTTTTATCCTCTTAAATTTCTGGGAAAAACCATCGTATATTCTTTCCCCGGTTCCAAATTATATCTGTGCCAAATGTCATCTGAATCGGTTCAGTAAGTGAAGGGTGAAGAGGGAACAGGCAGACATCTTTCCAAGTAATTTCCATAATGAGGAGCTCGATGACGCGGGTGGTTAGGGCGTTCGGCTGCGATCGTTGAAGTTAAGCAACTTTCGCAGTGGTCGGTCATTGGATGGGTGACCAAAAATCTTGTATCTCGAGTTCCTCGCCCTCGTAATGGGTCATGGCCCAATCACCCTATTCCATCCATAGGGTAGGCCTGTGCTCCAGCAGTGGGGACATTAACAGGCTGACGATAATGATAATAAAGAATTCCCATGTCTTTTTAACAAATACAATGAATCATCGAAATGTATGCACACACTTTCGAAAGACTGCATCAAATTGGATAATTCTTCATTAATGGTGTTTGTTTTTGTTAGGACAAGCTTTGCATATAAAATAACAAAAATTGCCAAGAAAATATGGCGATGCGAATTTCGTCGGGTGGGTCAGCTGGTCTATTGTAATTTTACTTATCATTACAAATTTTCTTTACATCCACAAACACAGAAGGCGAAGAGAAGCCGGAACCGGAACCAATGCCGGTGCCTCCGGACTCGTGTCCCGCGCTCATGGTGTTCGCTAGCCCGGGCGAGTTCATCGACAAACTGGGTAAGCTTATTGGTACAGTTGAATTGACTATATTTCTTACTGTAATTTATGAAAAAACCGCATCCAAATCGGTCCATTCGTTTAGGGGCTACGATGCCACAGACAGACTCACATACCCCTATTTTTGCGCTGGGGGTTAAAAATAGCTTCTAATGCATGTTGAAAAAATAGAGGGATGGACGAGAAGAGATGAGAAATTGTGAGAAATGACGAAGGAAAATTAGAGGAATGCTTCTGAATAAGGAGGAGCGAGAAGAGAAATTGTTTCTGTGTGATCGATAAGGAAAAAACTAAAAGGGAAGAATTGAAAGTTGTATGAAAACTACATAAAAAATATAATTTAGAGGAATTCTTTTAAATATAACAAAAGCTGGTAGGGAACAATCGAAGGATGAGCAAGGCAAAGGTCTTTTTAGGCGAAATTTAAAAACAAAACAGCGAGCGGCGCGGAAATTTGATATTGGCAGCTATAGCTGCCGCGGACCGTTAAGGTTTTTCTGCGACCGGCAGCTATAGTTGCCGTGGACTGTATAGAACACATACTGCTCTGACTCCAAACAAATTAAGAGCAGAGGTATATTGTTTTAAACTTTCATGGACACTAACATTATAACTATTAACGGGATTGTTTTGTATGAGTCTCCGATATTTCGGCACTGTTGCAAGCGCCATGATCACGGAGTAACTGAGTTACTCAGGATCAGACATAAAAAACAAGGTACACGGTAACAATCCTGTTAATAGCTATATATAGAATCAGAGGTTTTTACTATATATTTTTTCATAAACTAGCTCCAATACCGATGCCTTTACCTCCGGACTCGTTTTCCGCGCTCATGGTGTTAGCCAGCCCGAGCGCGTTCATCGTTAAACTAGATTAGTTTATTGTTATAGCTGAATTGACAATATTTCGTATTTTTTCTTAATAAGTCCAAATGGACGTTGTAACTTCGATGACTTCGATGGCGCAAGTGATTAGCGCGTTCGGCTGCGGTCGTAGAGCAAGTTTCAAAGTGAAGATTCATTGGATGGCTTTTAACAGTAAAATTAAGCAAACTCCTCATCACCATTGTCAAAAGGACATTGGGCAAAAATGTATGAATGCTGCACCCACGTCCGCCACGGCTTCAACTGCATTTGTTTGAAAGGTATTATAGTCATGATCATCTGTGCGCATCAAATTCCACCCCGGGGGTCTTTAGTTATTTTAAGTTAAATAGGTACAAGTACTATAACGAACGAACATTAATGAAACTAGGGAATTAATTTATTTAGTTAGTTCGACCCTACATAGAGGGCTCGGGTATTATGGGTGTACTTCACAAGGTGCAAGGGTGCCCCCTTAATTTATTCTGCCGCGCTAGAGTAAATCCAAAATCCCCTCATGGGTTGGGGTTTTTTCAAACATTCTGTTCGTTATAGTAAATTGTCTTCTGCGTAAAACGGAGCGACCACAAATCACACAAATTTGTCCTCGCTTCGGAGAAAACATTATTCCAGTTCATCCATACTAATTGACAAAACCGATAATCAGCCGAATCGTGTCTTTTTCGTTGCGTACCCTTAATCGTTACAGAAATTTTCTCCCCATTAAAACAAAGATCACTCTCGTTACGTCCCTTGTTCTACCTCTCATTGATTATGCCGATGTCTGTTATCCTGATTTAAATGCAGATTTTCTCAATAAATTGGACCGCCTTATGAATAATGCTATACGTTTCATCTTTTGCCTCCGCAAATTCGACCATGTTTCTTTATATCGATCCCAACTAAAATGGCTTCCTATTCGCCAGCGTAGGCAGTTAAGATTACTCTGCACTCTTTTTTCCATTATTTCCAACCCTCATTCTCCAGAGTACTTGAAATGCAAGTTTCAGTATCTCTGTGATAGTCACGATCGTCCTCTCCGCTCTGCTGATTCATTAGCTCTCTATATTCCTCTTTCTCACTCAGGCTATATGTCCAACTCCTTTACTATTCAAGCTATACGACTGTGGAATGGCCTTCCCGACTCCATCAGAAGATCTCCTAGTAAACTTATATTTAAGAGGAATGTTCACGCTCATCTGTTGCAAAACTTAAGATGAAGTGTCATTTTAGTAATCATCATCTTGTGTATATATGTGTATACTGTATATATTTAAATATTAGTGTGTTTTGTTTGTATGTATTATATTATTTTTATAGTATGTATTTATATATGTAATTCTCTCCATAAGTTGTAAATTTAATGGCATAAATCAATAATGTATTTGTTTGAGCTTTTGTATGGAAATATGTACAATTGGTTATTTAACCCCCCGTTGATTCAGCTCGTGAGTATCGTTTCTATTTGTAGTGTATTTTATATTTTTTAATGTTATCATTTGTTTTCATCTCATTTTGTTACTCAATCTTGTCAGCCGGCAGGTGAGCGATTACCGGCATTAGTTGCGTGTTCAAGTAGTAATATATAAAAATAATTTACCTATATTTATTTTAGTATATGTATATAGCTATATATATTTTATTTATTAATGGATAATTCTTTTTATTCTGCTTGCGGATCAGACATTTCTTCTTCTTCAAATGATTCCTTTCATGACGTTATGACTCTTGGTGACTCGCTCAATTCTGAATTAACAGCTTTTAAGGACTTTTTTAATATTTGTCATATTAACGCCCAAAGCATCCCGTGTCATCACCACGAATTGCTTGAGACATTCTCCCCTAATTATGTTCATGCGGTTCTTGTTTCTGAGAGCTGGTTGAAACCCTGCCTGAACTCAACTTCATATGATATTCCTGGGTTTACGCTTATTAGGAACGATAGAATTGGCAAAGGTGGAGGTGGTGTTGCTATCTACCTTCGAGCAAATATCTCTCACAAGATTGTCAGTGTTTCACCCTCTCTTTTTTCTGGTACTTCGGAATATATTTTTCTTGAAATCACTGTCAGTCGAGAAAAGGTTCTTTTAGGCGTGGTCTATTGCCCACCGTCTTTGGACTGCCATGATTCTTTGGAAGCTGCTCTGACACCACTTAGCACTGATTACTCCCATCACATCATCATGGGTGATTTTAACACCGACCTCGTTAAAAATTCCGTCTCCGCCGTTAAACTCCAAAATCTTTTCAAATCTCTCAGCTTTTCTGTGGTCCCTCTTAATCCCACTCATCATAATGCTCAATCTTCAGACACATGGCTTGACCTTATTGTCACTTCCTCTGCGAATAACTTCACAAAGTTTGGTCAGTTCTCTGCTCCTGGTTTCTCTCACCATGATCTCATATTTGCTTCATATAAACTGAATATGACCAAACCGAAGCCAAAGGTACTGCTCATGCGCAATTTTGCCAAACTCAACACTGATGCTCTAAGATCTGATGCTGCTGACATAGATTGGTCACCAGTTTTGAATTCCAATTCTATTGAGGTTAAAGTTAACTCATTTAATTCTCAGATTCTTGAGCTCTATAATATCCATGCCCCCTTGCGTCGTGTAAAGCTGAAACGTCCCCCTGCTCCTTGGATATCCAAGGGAGTTCGTATGGCCATGACTAGGCGTGATCGGGCCTTCCGCAAGTTTAAAAAGGAAAGATCGGAAGATAACTGGAATCGGTTTAAATCTGCCAGAAATTTATGCAACCGGATGGTGAGATCTGCAAAGCGTCGCTACTTTTTCGACAGCCTGGCTAACTCCACATCAGCCGGGGCCTGGAAATTATTAAAAAGTGTTGGTCTCGGAAAGTCCCAAGCCTCTGCTGGTTTTTCTTCTTGCTCTTTTTCACTTAACGAACTTAACTCTCATTTCTCTTCAATTTCACCTCTAGACTGTATCACCAAATCCAACACGATTTCTGAATTAAAATCTATTCCGTCTCGTGATATCGAGCCTTTCTCCTTCTCCTCAGTGTCAACTGACCATGTTAAAGAAATTTTTCGTTCCCTAAGTTCTAACGCTGTCGGCTGCGACGGCATCAGTCGCACTATGCTTCTAAATATTCAGGATTACATAATCCCAATTTTAACACATATCATAAATTTTTCCTTCGAGAATGGTTCGTTCCCTTCCTTGTGGAGAAAAGCCTTTATAATTCCTCTCCCAAAAACTAATAACCCTAAGGTATTGAGCCACTTTAGACCCATTTCTATTTTGCCGTTCCTCTCTAAAGTCCTGGAAGCAGTGGCACAAAAACAGCTTTCCAAATTTATTCTAGACAACTCATAACTCTCTCAATATCAATCTGGTTTTCGTCCAGGACACAGTACGTCTACTGCTCTTCTTAAAGTCACTGAGGATGTCAGAGATGGTATGGAGCTTGGCAAGTTGACAGTGCTCGTGCTGATTGATTTTACCAATGCTTTTAACACTGTCGACCATGACATTCTCCTTGCCTTTCTGGCACACCTTAGTGTATTTTATTTATTTTATTTAAACTTTATTGCCACAATTACAAAAATGGACAAAAGGCGGACTTAACGCTAAAAGCATTCTCTGCCAGTCAACCTTTAGGCATAAAGAAATCCACGAATGCGGCTATAATAATAAAAAAAAAAGTGATTTACTTTAAACATACACCAGTAAAAGTAACTACATAAATATTTATTTAAAAATAAACCTAAATATACATGCATAGAATACATTTAAATATATTACTTATATAAATATTTATAATATATATATATATATATATATATATACATACATAGACATAATTATTATTAACACCGTTTATAAAATATATTGATGATGAGACTGTGAAGGGAAATTGTGAGTTAAACTTAACGTTCTTAGCTTTCTAGGAGAAGTTCATGAACTTTCTTCTTAAAACTGCACCTAGTAGGTGACCTTCTAACGGAGTCAGGGAGGCTGTTCCAGAGTCGTGAAGATTGGAGGGCAAAGGAATCAGACATATAGCCAGAGTGAAAGAGAGGAAGAGATAGTGCAAGAGTATCAGTAGAACGAAGTTGAAGTTCATGTGAGTCACAAAGATATTGAAATTTGGATCGTAAGTAT